TGCGCTCTATTCACTCATTTAATTTCACATTAATCCAGTGTAACTAGCACTTCCAATCCAAACCTTTCCACTTTTTCTAACGTGAATTATTTTTTGCCCTTACACGCGCTTACAAATGTTTCCCAAACATGCCAGCCATAAAATAGAAATGATATACAACCTTCAGTCTGAAAAGATGGTTCGGTCGAGATAACAAAGAAAATTCTCTTTCTTTTCCATCTTTCAAACTCATTTTTCTACGTGTTAATGTAACTCATAGGAATTAAATGTGAAATGAGAATTCTTCTTGATTTTCATTTCGTCTGTAATGCGAAAGTGATTTGATGGAACTTATGAGTTTCTAGAAAAATTTGTTAGATGAAGCCAAACATTTTTGTTTGTTTTAGAACGGAAAAGTTTCTTTTCTTTTAACTTATTTTTTGGAAATGTGAAAGTTTTGCTGAGTTGCTGATCTGAAATTTTCCAGACTTGAGAACTTTTACTGTTGGCAATGTGTGGTGCTTCATGTGAATTGGCTAAATATTTTTAGACGTAACGAGAAATAATAATAAAAATTATTGGCATGAGATCAATTTCGACATCTATTTATAGTCGATGGATGCTAGCTGTTCATAAAGTACATGTCAAAATAAATCTCGGTTCTCAACCTGTCGACGAAAACAATGTTGTACGAATAAGATAACTGAATCAAAAAGTTTTATACAAATATTTTTCGTGCATCAGCCCACACAATTGCTTATTTGAGCGTTTGGAGGATGTAGATTTGTGACATTTTTAGAAGAAAATGAAATTTTGAGATTAGCTATTGTTTTGGGTCATTCTTGAATCTTGTTTATTAAGAAGAATGGATTTTCAAAGGTTATTTATCTTACTTACATTGAGTTCACTCCTTTTCTTTATAAAAAACCCCTAAAATTAATAGCTGTTCAGGAAATTTTATAAATATTTCATATTATAACATTTTCTGTCCCATTTCTTACAAATTTTCATCCTCTTTGATTGTCAAAATTAACACTCGAGTGACTCGAAATGAATTTTCCTGGAAGCACAATGGAGATTCCTTCTATTCAAGGAATTTATATTGAAATCTAAATTAGAATATTCTATGGACTTAAGATCATTGCTTTTTCATTCGTAAACAACAAAAGTCATGAACTTTCATTTTGATTGAAAAGATGAAACTTTGGATTAAAGCTTACTGATATGAACTCCTACGCATAGCAGCCTGCACATCATTCATATCTTTTTTACCGGGAATGATATAGGGGCCGTTCACTTATTACGTTACGCAAAAAAACCGACTTTTTTCACCCCCCTCCCCCCCTTGTTACAACATGTTACAACTCGAACCCCCCCCCCCCCCCCCCTTTGAACGTTCATGATTCAAATTTTTTTCGTGAACTTTTTTTTAAAAAACAGACGACAGTTAGAACGTTACATTCTTCTTGACACCCCCCCCCCCCATAATTCCTTTTGATAGAAAAATTTGAACTCAATTCTGAAGGTTCAAAGCATTGAAATTAATGAGAATTTTACTTTCATGACAAGGATTGTATTTAAATTGAAGGGAGGGTGGCGGGGGATTCTGGGTGCTTACTCAAGAAGTATACACAAAAAATTCTATTTTTTGACTCCTCTGATTTTCAAATAGTTTTAAAGACCCCTCATAAATTTGAAAACTTGAAATATGTCCTTTTGGTTCCAGAATATTTAAAGCTACTCCGACAATACCAACAGTATTAAGCTTTTGCGGAAGCAATAAAATGGGCAAATCCGCAGAAAGCATGAACTGGGAAAAAGCGAGTTGTAATATTTTTCTACTTGCTTGAATTCAAAAAAATAAAATACGTTAAAATTTATTCATAAAAAGTTATTATTCTGTTGCTTAAATTATTTTGGATGGTTTTTATCAATAAATTATTGCAGAAAAATTTATAATTAAAGTTTAATATATGTTCAGCACAGTTATATGTATGATAATGTATGAATTGTAGGACTGAAAATTTTCCAACGTTTTCTAAGGATCGATTAACGCTATTAAATTCAAAATATCTCTTTAATTAAATGTTTTAATCTTGTGCTAAGTATCAAAAGTTGTTCATTTTTCAAAATTACGCATGATTTGGTATTAAATCATTACTTTAAAAGTCAAATAGGAGAGAAATTTGAGAAAAATAAAATTTTGAAGCGTTTTATTGCCCGCGGATTTGCCCAAATATCAAACATTTATTTCAATTTTTCTAATGGAAAATTATATCATAAATTATTCAGAATTTATTATTCCTTTATTTTTATGTTATCCACTCTTCAAGTCCTTCTGCATAAAAAAATCAAGTTAGAAGTTGACATAGAATAAATGTATAAAGCGCATTTAAATTTTTAACTGCCCATATGAATACAAAGGAAGAAAGGAGTCCGATATCTTTGAAAAATAACGACAGAGAAGAGGATTGAGTGTTAAAAACTCATTTAGATCTCTTGAGCATGTCAATTTTAGGTTAATATTATTGACTAAATCGGTATGCTGTCTCAGTTTGCCATTAAATTGCAGCTTTGCTTACACTCGTTACATCAAAAACATATTAAATCTGTCACTTGGTCAGAGGAGGTTTGAGTGTTTTGTCTCCCACTCTGCTCTCAAAATGTCCTCAAAATCTTATTGCTTTCACCCAAATTTGCCAATACAAGAACTTTAAATTCCCTCTCAAATTTCCAGACACGCTTCTGCTACAAATGCATTCAAAACTGCCTTCATTAATTGAAAAGCAATGCTAAAAAGTCACAACTGGCACTTCCCTTCCTATTTCCCTTTAATTTTGACTTTATTTTCTCCAGCTCCACAATTTTCATCTCCGTCAATGTTCTCCACCCGATTCACAACACAATTTTATTTCTCAACCATGCGTGTCCAATTTCAATATTTCTATGCTTAACATGTGCGTGCTTTTATGCTTGGAAATCTTTATAGAATCTTACCAAAGACTCATTTTTTGTTCCTTCCCCCGCATCCCCAACTTCAATTTTTGTTCTTTAGTAAACACATTTTCTCCATTAGTCGATTTGTGGATTTGTGAAATGATGGCGATATTGAATGAAAAATAACAAAAACAAAAATAGTAATGGCACAAAGCGAAAAAGTTAAAAATCATTTTTTATTGCACAGGTGATGTTCACACTAATGCTTTACTAGTTCTTCAAACACCAGCGAATGAAAAGGAGGCAAAGAAAAATCCATGAAATGAAAACATTTAAGCTAGTGCCAGCTGCATTGCATCACTTTTTTTTTGTCATTTGACTTAGAAGAAGCTACTATTATGTGATTTTTTTTATAAATCCCTTCCAAGTCATTCTGCTGTTTTTAGCCTTGTGCTTTTTGATGTTACTTTGACTGAATGGAAATAGAAATTATCTAATGTCTTTAAATCAGTGTTGTACAAACTGTGTGCCGTAGAATTCTTTGAAAATGACACAAGCCGCATGATTTGTGCGACTTTGGTCATGGCTTACCACTAAGGTGTGCCGTGGCTCAAAAAGTTTGGACAACACTGATTTAAATGATTGAAAATTTGATCATTATGCATCTTTCCATAGCTTCTAATTTATTAAATGCAAGAAGCTTTAACAGCACAACTTTAACAAGTGTTTTGTCTTGTTCCTCAAAACATTTAAGTCTCAAAAAAGTTTTGAAGGAAATAAATGAAATTTTTATTATTTTATGCTGACTCGTTAAATGCTATCTCTTAAATTTGAAGTCGCTTAAGTCATTTATCACTGTGACCTTCTTGCTGCAAAAAAAGTTTTTCCGGAATTTTCATTTCTTTTTCTTTTAATGGAAAAACACACGAAGAAATGATGATAATGAAAAGTTACGATAATTTCTTCCTTTAAGATTTTTTTTCTCTCCTTTCTTTCAAGCTTAAAAAATAATGTAAGCCAAAAACAAGGGTACAGAACTAATGAAATAATCAAAAATCATCAAAAAATTATCAAAAATTGATAAAAAATGATCAAAAATGATCCAAGTGTAATTTATCAGTTTCGTACCCTTGGCCAAAAAAAGGAAATCTGAAAGTTGGAGACACAAAAAAAAAAATTGGGAATAGAAGAAGATTACACAATGGAATCATGAGTTCGCAATTTTAGGTCAATCTAAGCTCAAGTTTCTCTTTCAATTGAAAATAACAATGAAATGTTATTCTCTCTTACATGATGAGATTTTCTAGATTTTTTTTTGTTGTGGTTTCAGTTCCTTTTTATGTCATCGTGGATGAATCAATAGACAATTTTGATGATCTTTTTTTCTCATTTTCCACTTCATGATAATTTTAATTTTCAATTATAAAGATTTTTATGAGAAATGTGATGACTGCAGTCATAATCAGTGCTTTAAACTAATGCGCACTTCCAATTTCAATTTTATCTAAACAATTTCAATTCAAATTAATTAAATTTTTGCATTAGAAAATGTTCTTTATTGCCGATAATGCAGCAAAAAAGCTATTGTCATATAAAAATTTATGAACTAATTTTCAACATGTTCATTTTAATAGAAAATATTCAAATTTATTTATCTAGTCGAATAATAAAAAAGTATCTGATAAATATGTAGAATTTATTATTCAATTAATATACGATCAGTTTATTTGAAATTGTTAGCAGATGATGCAGATATTCGATTGTTATTTTAGTGCATGAATTTTATTAAAATTTTGGTATCATAGCTAGTTGGTTTGAGTATAAAATATGATTTTTTTTAAGGAATAAAATAAAGGGCTGTTTATGAACACACTTATTAAACTTTTATATCTTACATCAGATAAATTCGTTTACAACTCAAAACAGTTCCAGAAACAGGATCTGTTGATTAAAAATATTTATTTATTAGTTTCTGTTTGATATTTATTTAATCTACATGCGTAAAAAACAATATTCCATTCTCATTTCCACTTATTTTTCTTTAAAAAAATGTATTAGTTTAAATTTGAACACTGTAAGTGTAAGTCACAATTTAAAACATGAATAAAATGTAAGTAAAATTAATACTTAACGTTTAATGATACCAATTGATTAGAATCCTACTAATAATTTAATTTGTCACTAGATTACTTTTCCTGCTCATCGCAACGATGTCATCTTATGCTAATTCAGCAGAATTAACCTGCAATATTGATCCAAATTCAGGGTCTTGCACGATTGTTAATATGACAGAAATATCTCAACACAATGAAGCAATAACAGTTGTTGGACAGGCATCAAATTATATTAGCAGTACAACAACAATGGTTAGCTTTATGGAAGGCTTTGTAATCAGATACATTCCAACCAAGATCTTCAGCATCTTTCCTAACCAGTGTTGCAAATGTAGATGTCTACACTAGATGAAGAATGTAGATTCTTCAATAGTTTTTGTCTAGCTAAGAAACTTTCTTCATAAAGATCGATTCTATATGAAGATAGAAAATCTAATCTACACAAAGATTATTTCTACATAAAGATTCTGTCTACATAAAGATTCGATGTAGATGTCTACAATTCTACATTTTTTCCAGGTCTACATCAGAGAAGAATGTAGAATTGTAGACATCTACATCGAATCTTTATGTAGACAGATTCTTTATGTAGAAATAATCTTTGTGTAAATTAGATTTTCTATCTTCATATAGAATCGATCTTTATGAAGAAATTTCTGTCTCAGAATTTATCTGATCCAGACAAATGGCCAGAATGCAACACTGTTCCTAACCTTGAAAACTTTGTTTTGTACAATAGTTCCTTAACATATATAGTGACTGATTCCTTTGCAAACTGTGCATCATTAAAATTGATTTACATCGCAAAGACTTACGTGAAAAATCTTCCTGCTGGATTCGCTCAAACCTGCTCAAATTTAAATTCATTTGGATTGATGGAGAGCATGGTTGAAACTGTTGACGCTGATGCTTTTAGAGGACTTAGCAATTTGAATATGATATCAATGCCAAACAATAAGATTTCTTGTATTCCTGCAACTTTGTTTCAACCGACACCAAACTTAGCTTCAATTGGTTTTGAAATGAATTTGATTACAGGTTTAGATTCAATGATTATAAAGGGTCTTAAAGCTTTGAACAATTTCAACTTTTACAATAATCAAATACAAAGTTTGCCTCAATTTGACTTGACTGATGTTGGTATTTTCCATGGACTCATACTTGGATTTTACAACAATCCAATAAATGCCATCAATCCTAATTTACTTTCATTTTTCTCAAGCAGACCTAAAAATATTACTGATTCCATATATGTTCAAGGTACAACATGCATTCAGGATCAAGCATTTACCTCAATCTCAACAAATGATTACCAAAATGCTGGTTCAAAGCTTCAAACTTGTTACAATAATTGGCAACCATCAATGGCAACTCCACCGATATGTCCACTAAGCTCAACAGTCACAACAGTTCCACCAACTTCTTTGGCAACAACCATAGCTCCACCAACCTCTGGAACATGCCCATCAGATAAGGTTTGTCGTTATTTCCTCGATCAATACAATAGATATACTTGCATCCTTGATGGAGTTGATTCCCTTCTAACATCAATTGCTGGAAATCATTTGATTACTTTCGATGACTTGACTGTTCGTCGTGTTGTCTTTACAAACTCATTTTTGTCACGCATTCCACCAATTCTATTCCAAAAGTTTCCAAATCTTGAATACCTCACTGCATCTAATAGTTCAATGAGTTCGATCAATACAAAAACTTTTGGTACAACATGTGGAAATTTAAAGTTCTTTGATGCAAGTTACAATGACATCACAAGTGTCGATGGAGCTTCTTTTAAGAGTTGTTCCAAGATTGAAGTTGTTGATTTGACAGGAAATCAATTCAGTTCCATTGATGGACAATTGTTTATCAATAATCCAACATTGAAGAATATTTACATTAACAGACCTCCATCGATGGTCTTGTTGTAATTTTTTTTTTTTTTTTTTTTTTTTAAACTTTTTATTTATTTACATTTAAATTTAAGTATGTACAAAGTTTCTATACATTTTGTTGCTTTTTGTTTTAAGGTTTCAGGCATTCAATTTGCCTTTTGTCTCTTAATTTTGATTTCATTTACTGATTTTACTTTCTTTTGTATTTCATTTGATTTATTCGGTGTTTTGAGATGCAAGACGACTGTTGAAGTTCGCTTGCAACTTTCCTACGTAGTCTTCGATGGACGGTATTTTCGCTTCTGTATGAAGATCGGTGATCCTTTCATATCTTGTTTTATTGAGAACAATTCTCAAGAATTTGTTTTGCAGTACTTGAAGTTTTTGAAGATGGGTTTTTGCCATGCTTCCAAACGCTGGACAACCATATGTGAATATTGGTCTGATGGCTAGCTTGTAGATGAGAAGTTTGTTTCGTACGTCGAGTTGTGAGTTCCTGCTGATGAGCGGATAAAGCTGTCTTAATGCGGTGTGAGCCCTATTGGTCACATACTCCACATGCGGCTTTAATGTCACTCTCTTGTCGATCACCATTCCCAGATATTTAGCTTCTGTTTCCCATTTGATGTTTTCGTTGAGAAATTTGATGTTATTTCCTGGTAGTTGCCTGGAGTGCCTGTTTGTGATGAATAAGGCTTGAGTCTTCTGTTTGTTGAGGTTGATCTTCCATTTGTTCATGTATTGTTGAACTTTTCTTCCTGTGTGCTGTAGATGTGTCACAATATCGGCCGAGTTCTCTGCAGAATGATACAGTGCTGTATCATCTGCGAAAAGACCGATGTTGTTGGTTGTCTCTCTTACGACATCATACGTGAAGATGTTGTAGAGAGTTGGTGAAAGCACTGCTCCTTGTGGCACTCCGAATTTGATTACCTTGATTTCTGAGAACTGACCTTTAATAAAAACTGCGAAAGATCTTTCACTGAGGAAAGATCTTACAGTTTTTATAAGTGGCAGTGGAAATCTCAGTTTGAGCATTTTGTACAAGAGTCCGTTATGCCAGACTCTGTCAAATGCTTTTTCTACATCCAGGAAGATCATGCCTGTTGACTTTTTGTTGTTTAAGTTTTCTTTTGCTGATTTGATCACTTTGATGAGCTGGTGAGATGTTGATCTTCTAGTCCGGAAGCCGCACTGCTGGTTTGGGATGATGTTGTTATCCTCAAGATGATCGTTGATTCTATTCAGTAATACTCTCTCCAGTATTTTGCTTATTGAGCTGAGTAGACTTATTGGCCTGTAGCTGCTTAGCTCATTTGCTGGTTTTCCAGGTTTTGGAATAGGAATCACTTTTGCATGTTTCCAAACTTTGGGGAAGTGGTTGAGTTTCAGACACGAATTGATGATGAATTTCAAGTATTCGAAACCTTTTTCAGGAAGATTTTTGATGAGTATGTTGCTGACTTCATCTAGTCCCGGAGCTTTTGGATTTTTCAGATTTCTTATGATGCTCACGATTTCGTTTACATCTGTTAGTTCTGGATTCTCATCATTGTCTTGTTCCAATGCTTCTTTGACTGTGTTGTTTACTTCCTGTGTATGTTGTGGATCGTTTTGTTCCAGAGGATTTTCGTGAGCTTCACGAAAATACTCGCTGAGTGCGCTGGCTTTTTCTTTGTTGGTGATGAACGTTTTACCCAGATTTGTCAATGGAGGCATTGTTTTTGAACCTTTTTTGCAAAATTTTGCTATTCTCCAAACTGTTTGGTTTGACGGTTGAATCTCTGAGAGACGCTTATTCCAGTTTTTGTTTTTGAGTTCTTTAATTTTCTCATTGATGACTCTCTGCAGATAATTCAATTCAGATTTGAGTTGATTATCTCTGCTTCTCTGCCATCTTCGACGAAGACTCCTTTTTGTGTTGATTAGATCTTTAATCTCCGGTGTGAGTTTAGTTGATTCGAACTTGATCTTTTTCATTTTTACACTTGAGTTCCTCGCTTCCATGATGAGTTCAGAGAGAATCTTAATGTGATTCTCGATCTCATCTGTTGTATTGCAAGAATTTTCTCCAATGTTGTCTTCAATGCGGCGTGAAATTTGTGCTTTGAACTTTTTCCAGTTTGCGTTTTTGTAGTCATATCTGTAGACTGTATTTTCAGTTCTGTCGATTTTTGATGTTTTGATTTGGAAATACACAGCGCAGTGATCACTCATTGCCTCTGTGCATTGAAGTTCTGTTGTTTCGAGGTTGGAATTCGAGAGCATCAGGTCAATTGTTGACACTGATTTGTTTCGATCTTCTGGGTAGTACGTTGGCGAGTCAGGAAAGTAGATCATGAACTCTCCTGACATTTCCTGAAGAATATTTCCTGATTTATTTGCAACGTTGCAGTTCCATTCTCGATGTTTTGCATTGAAGTCTCCACAGATGTAGTAATTTCCTCTCAGATTTGTTATTTTGTTGATGTCATCTCTCAGATGTAGATCTATTTCCCCTCCTTTGCTTCCTCCTGGGAGATAGACTGAGAGGATGTGACAACTATCCGTGTCATTGATGAAGACTTTGATTCCAATGCATTCCATTAGTTTTGTGTTGTAGCTTGGTTGAAGCTGATGTTTTAGATTTCTTTTGACGATGATTGCAACACCACCCTTTGGTCTATCCACGCGATCCAATCGATGAATTACGTAGTCTGGATGCGAGTCAATTTTTGAGTTTGGTTTTAGGAATGTTTCTGAGATGCAAGCAACATCGACGTTTTGCTTGCTTAGGTAGTCGAGAAATGCTAACATTTTGTCAGTGAGGCCGTTAGCATTCCAGTAGAGGACGTTGATACTTTGTTGTCTACAATCCATTATTGTATGCGGTGTTTTTGGCACTTGAGCCGATTGCTTGGAGTATTTCGTCGATGAACTCTGGATTTTTGGCGATTAATTTGAGAAGCTCGCTGATAAGGTACTTGCACTTTGATTCCTCTATTTCTGAGATGTTTTTATCTCTTGTGCTGGTGCTTTGAGCTTGTTGATTAGTTGTTATTTTTCGATTCACTACCTCAACACTGAATGAAGGTTCTGGGAAGACTTCATTCGAGGTCTGACTTGTTGGACTGATGTCTTCTGAGTCCATAAGCTCAACATCTTGCTTTGGTTTTTGATGTTGATTGTTATTAATGCGCTCGTTTTGCTTTTTTCTTTGATTCTTTTTCCAATGTTTTCCTCTTTCTTTATTGTTTTGTTGGTTGTTCAAGTTATTTTTATTTCCCTGATTTGAGGGTTTGTGATTTGGAGGAGGATTTATGTTCCTTGGTTTGTGGTTGACTGGAACTTGTTTTTGATGAACAGGCTTTTGTGTACCAGATGTTGATGGTTCCATATACTCCTTTCTCCATTGAGGTTTTGGTGCATGTTGGACGTTTCTGGTTGATCTCTCAGGACGATGCGGTGTTGGAGGATTGTTTCTCCGTTGTCCATATGAATAATGGCCTGCTGTTTTGTTTTGATTTTGGTTGTTTCCAATCTGTGATTTTGATTTCCATTTTTCAATTATTTCTTGTCTGGTTTTACAACCTGTGAAAATTGCTGTATGTTTTTCACCGCAGAAGAAACATTTGAGTTTTCCGAGTGGAACCTTGTTGGTCTCTTTCGATATGTACTGGCACGTTTTCGAGTCATGTTGCTCAGAGCATCTGAAGCAAACGGACGGTTTGTTACAACCGTTTTGTCCATGACCAAACTGCAGACATTTCGAACATTGAGATGGTCCAGCTTGTCTATTTTTGTAGTCAGCCCATTTAATTTTGAAACTGCTGACAATTTTGATTTTTCTGAGGAATTCCAGGAAATTTCCACCTTGTTCTACATCTTTTTTGAAGTACACGAGGTAGTTCTGGTCGTCGTCTTGTTCGTGTCTTTTGTGTTTCATTGTCATTTTGACAATTTTTACTGGTGTGATTTTTACGGTTTGAAGTTCCTTCTCCAACTCACTGATTTCCATATCTGGGAGTCCATAGAGTACGTACTTCTTCAGTGGTTCTTGGCTGGAGTATGTGTGGAAGTGATGCTTTTTGTCTTTGAGTAGTTGGATGAATTTCTCGTAGTAATCCCAACTCTCCGTTGTTACCGTTTTTGTTCCTTGTTTGCCCTTTTTGGTCTCAATTAAGAAACTTCCAGGTTGATTGTTTATTTCATTCGTCAATCTCTTGATTTCACCAGCTCCTCCTGTGCTGATGACAATTGGAGGTGGTTTTGATTTTTGTTGAGATTTGTTGTTGTTGCTTTCCGTGTTTACGGAAATTGTCTTTTGTGGCTCTGATGTTTTGCTGTTTTCTCCCCAGTACGAAGAAGTTGTCGATCTTTTTTTCTCCTGTTCTGGTGAACCAAATAGATACGGTACTCCAGAAGACGAAGCTTTCTTCACTGGTGGGAGTACGAACAGTGGTTTGTTCCCATCTTTTGGTTTGTTTTCGTTTGCTACTCTTTTTAAAAGAGCGTTGGGAACTATCACTTCTCGAGGGCGTTTTTCTGCTTTACTTGCTTCATTGAGAAACTTCTTTATTGATATTTGTTTTTTTGGTTTGAGATTTGTCATCTCAATGTCGGCTGCTTGTGAAACATCTTCACTGAAAATTTCCTCAATATTGAGAATTGTCACTGAAGATGAATGTTGTTGTTGAGAACTATTAAGTCCATGCTGATTTTGAGAAAGATTTTCTTCGTTGTTGGTAGTTTTTGGTGATGCTATCATTTTGATGTTTTGAGAATCAAACTGAGATTTTGAAACTTTTTGCAAACAAAAAGCTTCTCAGGTAGTCTCTGTTTTGTTTCTTTTGAGATTTTTGAATAATTTGCGGAGCGATTTGTAAACACGTCTGTTCACGTTGAGATCTAGTTTGCAACTGTGGTCTTGTTGTAATAATTATGTAGAATTTTGAGACATGAAATAAATTTCGTTGTTGACAATCCTTAATTTATGGTTTTTTATTTCAATCGAGAGGCCCAATTTAGTTCATGTAGCAGAGTAATTGAAGAATTTCAGAACAAAATTTGAATTTATAAACTGCGCAAAATATTAATAATATCAAAACAAGGTTTTGTGAAATAATATTTACTCAAATGCTTTATTTTACTTTAGTAGTTTAAAATTCAAGCTCCAACAGCAAGTCACAGTTTAGCAGATTCTTACAAGCCGATAAGAAAATAAGGTGCGAAAAAAATATCAGTAAAAAAGTTGTATCCTTAAAAAAATGAAGCTTTTCTGTTTCTTAATTTTGTTGATCGGTGCTGTTGCCGCTTCTCATACCCATGGATTAATTACAGGCGCATTGAAATTCGCTAAAGATTGTAATGACAAGTCAATCACATTATGCGTTAAGGTGAGATAACATGTTTTAATGTTGAATTTAATGGATAATTTATCGTCAATTGCTTCATGTTTGCCTAAATTAGTTAAATGTATTAGCAGTTGATAGAGCTAAAGTGATAAGTGGCATGTGAAATTTTAAATGTGAGTTTTTTATCTATTCATTCAGGAGCGCACCATTCAATTATTCGAGAAAACAAAGGGTGATTTTGAGCTTAGTGAAGGAATTAAACTTGTACAAACTGATGATGAGCCGCAGTCAGAACAATGACGATCATTGAATGATGTTTAATTATCAGACGACCTAGGCACTCGTGAGCAAGAAGTTGACTCATTATTGGTTGATCGTGTTTAATCGGATCGCACACAATTTAATTCAAAGTCTCAAAGGAATCAATCAAACACTTTCAACCAACTATTCCTAGTATATTAGTATTTAAATAATTTTAGAAAATATGTAATATTTTTTTAAAAAACTAGCAAATAAAGAAATCAAAGTTTTAAAATCTTAAAAAAAGTTGTTTCGAATTTTCAAATATAAAATGTGTTATTCTCAAATATTCTTTATAAAGTGTGTGCTACATATTAGTTTAATCAATAATAAACTGTTCAAATATCAATAAATACTCTGTTTACTATCTTTACTACGTGACAAACATCTTGTAGGTACTGAATTAAATAATAAAATTCCTGAGAATTTAAAAAAGACTTTGTAAAACAGTCGTCAACAACAAACGTGGAAATTTTGTTATAAATAACTTTTTAAGATGTAAGGAATTAAGTATCTACGCATCAAATCAAGCTTTACTCAACCTTTCTTTCCATTAAAAGCCACATCCAATAAGGGTCTTTATTGAAAAATCAACTTAAATCGATTTCATTTAGAAACGCATTAGTAACGCATACAGGAATGATAAGGACATTTATTGCTGCAGACATAAATTCGAATTTCTCCATACATGCTCAATTTAATGGAACAGAAAATTAGTGAGATGTGAAATTGACAGAAAATCCATTGGCAACCTGATATGTCTCAGTTTTTACCGTTGATTCTCGTTCTAAACGGATTTGTGGGATGTGTTGGGTTGTGAATGCTGTTTTGGATGGATGACTAGCAAATGCTTTTATTGAATATTCTGTATTTAGATTTTGGGAGTTTTGATTAACAATTGAAAGAAATTTGAATAAAAGTGAGGTTATGTTTCATAGTTTTGAGGTGTTGGACCTAAGGGGTCGGGTCGTTCACTTATGATGTCCATCAAAAATCCTGATTTTTAGACCCCCCTCCCCCCTCTGTCACAAAAATTCTATAGAAAAAAATTTCCATTGTTTGAACTGTCACAAAATTCTAGACCCCCCGACCCCCTAAATGTCGGACGTCATAAGTGAACCCCCTAACTGCTTCGCTGCTGTTTGTTTCTCAAATCAAAAAGCTGGTTAATGCCAATAAACACATACACCAACCTTAGTTTTGTCAAAAATGACTTTCCAAACCACACAAGCCAGGGATCCTAAGTTTGCCTACACTTGCCATCTGAATGTATTTTAACCATCATCAACCGATCACTTTCAACTCACTGTAATGTCAAATGATGAAAACATTTTTTTTTTGTTCTTCTTCCTTCCTTCTCTCTTTGAAATTCAATACGAATGAAAACTGCAATAAATTTTTCCAATGCTCAACGTAGACAGTAATTTCATCATTCCATTTTTGAAAGGAGAAAAAAAAAACATTATTCAAGCTGCTTGGGACTTGACTATAAATTGTGTATCACATGCATATGGTCGTCATGTCAGGTCTCATTGAAATTCATTTTCTTTTTTTCATATTTTACATTAGAAAGGTTTCTTATAAAATGTCATAGACGACACTGATGTGATATAGTGCGGTGAAAGATGACAGAATGTCTGAGATATTGTAGTCACTGACTGAGGAAATTGTCGTACCAAACATTCACATATGACATGATGAAGTTTCCTCTTTTTTCCTTCTTAGAATAGCAAACGAGAATTTTTGTAGTATTCATGCGGAATTCTCATGTTGATGTCTAAAGTGTGGTGACGATAAAAGGAATATTTTAAATTCAGGTAGTCTTTGGGTTGTATAAAGCAGTCTTTGTGAATTCTCTGGATGGTGATGCACTCAATTGAAAGTTAGCTTACAATCCTATTTGAATGGGAAAACCCGACATTAGTAATAACTAAGCACAGACAATATACGTTTTTTTTCCTTTTATACATTGGCAAAGTCAGGATTCAAAAGGTACGAACCCTTTGTTCGTCAAAATTGAACTTTGAGAGGAACAAAAAAATTCAAAATACCTTTGGATAGATCAGACTATCCCTATTAAGTGTTTGTTGTAAATCAAGAGTTCAAAGTTGCTTAAGTTGTGCCAAACTCTACTCGAAAAATAGACATAAATCTCTGTGTGCATCTATCTTCAGATGAAACTATGATAGATAGTCATCAACCCAGACTTGCAAACCAAACAAATACATTTTAATAACAAGAAATCAAATGGAAGAATTTTTCTTTAGAATATATCATACAAGCTCATATCTGCTTTTCAAATGCAGTTTATTAATTTTCTAGTCAATAACCACCACCCATGATGAATCAATATAGTGGTGCTATAGCACACATAGAATATACGATAAGAGCATTAATCATCGAATGATTTAGCTTACTTTAAATAGCCTTTTTGGAACCATAATGTGAAATTGTTTGTGAATTATGCGAAGTAGTAAAAGCGACAGTTGGTCAATCAATCGATTCTAACAACCCAGGTTTGATCCAACGGAAAGTTAAATTGAACTTCGATGCTACTTGAGTTCCCACAGTCAAGAAACATTGACACAGAAGTGTAAAATTATTAAATCATCAAAAAACCTTTAAAATTATTGATTTTGTGAAAATAAATTCAATCTAAAATTACCTCTGTTTACACATTCAGGTTTTTATTTGCAAAATCGAGATCTGTCAACATTTGAATATCAGCACATGCATAAAGGAAAACATCTCATGTAAATAAAATGCTTCAATGAGCAGCATCGAGAAGATAAACATTTGTGACATCAAAAGTTTCTTCTTTCCTTGCACGATTACTTTGTACAATTTATCTGCGATTGCTGGTAATAATAACAGCAATAATCTCTATCATGATTTAAAATGCAATGATATTTTCTAATTTTATATTCATGAAAGGGTTTAACGTTTATCAAAGGAGGATAGGAAAAGCAACAAGAGAGAGAGAAAAAAAAAAAAATTGTTCGAGCATTTCAGCAAATATTTTTTTTTCGCGGACCCTTTTCATCAGATCGTTCATCAAGCATTTAACACGCTTTATGCTACTTTCACGGTTTCCTGATTTTTGTTTACTAGAAAAAAAGTTTTTCGACTGCTTTTTTTCTTCTTCTCTCCTCACGGATCCTCTATTTTTATATGCTTTCCCTTTGTGCTAATGAAAAAAGTTTAGGATTTGGATGAGAATAACTTTCCGTTCATGAATCAATGGATGGAGATGGGAATAAATTTTTCCTTTTTTTGCTTACGAATAAATTTTTTCTAGAGTGTGTCTCGGGATGTTTCATCACTTTGAGGCTAAAGTAAACAAGTGATCCATTAATCTACTTAAAATGTGAGGTTGAGTTGTCGTTGAAACTTATAAGAAACAATTTAATGAGTATGGAAGTATTTTTGTTTTGGAGGGAGAGCTGACTTATTGTTATGGATTATGTTTTTTGAAGTTCGAAGCTTAATTGAATCAAGGGTGTGGTACTGATGAAATTATCACAAATGATCAAAAAAATTATCAAAAATGATAAAAAAAAATGATCAAAAAAATGATCAAAAATGATCAAATTTGATCAAAAATGATCAAAATGTAATTCTTCAGTTCCACCCTTGAATTGAATGCTTATAATATTTTTGCCTAGTTATAATGTTTGGTTTTTAAAAAAACTAGGGTTTTAAAAGTAAATCAAATTTCCTGAAATGTTTATCGACATCATGCATGAAACACTTTTCGTTCTAAAAAATTACAAAAGTCCTCGTGATATGGATCGAGGGACTACAGTGCATTTTTGACGCAGCGATCTGTATTTGATTATTTAATTATTTTGCGTTCGTTTACAGATCATTAGAAGTTTAGAAGATTATTCATTTGAGTGTAATTAACAAATAATTATAATGAGTGATTATATAGAAAGGCTTTATTATTTAACGGTCAATAAATAATTTGAAATATTTCCGTTAAAAGTTGCACTACAAAAACATCAATTATAGTATAATTAATAATTTGTGGCAGTGAATTTCCATACAGAAAAAGTGTATCATTTAACGGTTTTTTGAAATTCAAATTTTTCCAACGGCTAGAAAAAATTTGAAATTATAGAGGTAATGTTGAATTTTTTAAACGTACTCATCACGTGGTTTTGTTTATGAAATACAAAAATCATTAATTATAGTATAAACACACTGTTTCAAGACTTTTAACTGTTCGATCGGACCATAAACAATAGTAACGGAGCTAATAAAACAAACCTGAGCTCTCTACGATGTCTGGTTAAAAAGTTTTTCTTCAGACGAACGAGCAGCCGAACGAACGAACGAACATTTCGCATTATTAAGCTCCCTTTTTGGATACAAGCATACAAAAATGCGCTAAAAATATTAACAATAAGCCACACAAAATAATTGAAATTTGAGGATTTTTTGATTTCATAAAATTAGAACAATGCGGTCAAATTTAACATATCCTAACGGCATTCATTATTTGACATTTTACAAACCACATGTCATATTGGCTTTCAAAGCTCTCATTAATCATATTGGTTGCTCATTAAATGAGAATAATAAAAATAAAATGCAAATTATTACAATCGAATTTTAAAGTCCTTTAAAGCTTAAAAGAGAACTCAATCGACTTGAGTATATTTTTGTAAAATCCACAACAAATAACAGAAATAAAAGATAAATAAAATAGAAAATTGTGTAAAGATGACTACAAAACACCCATAGGACATCCATCTAGGTCAAGTTTATCACATTCGAAAGAAAGCTTTTTGAGTTTTAAAGAAGAAAAACTTTATCTGCAAAGGAAATCCAATTATGTCGATTTAATTTTCATTCAAACACATGCCGCATATCTTGGAGCTTATTTTGAGTTACTAAGAGTAAGAAAGAAATAAATAAACAAACAAGTATCTCAAGAAGATGTAAAGTCAGAAGAAGAAATAGGATATAGATAAACAACGATCTGCTGTGATACTTTATAACATTGTATGAATTCGAGAGTTTACAAGGATTCTGTCTCAATTTTTCTTGGAAGACAAGCTTTTATATAGGCTTAAAGATGAATATATTAGACTCTTTAAAAAATTAGATTTATGGGTTTGGAGCAGCTTTGGTTCTTATTTATTTAATTCGTTTAAATTTTCTAGAATTCAGCTAGCCTTCAAATAAGTTCTAGGTTTGATCACTTTAATGTCGTGA